CGCTCCCGCCGCCCGCCCCCGCTCCGCCGCCGCCGCTCCCGCCCACCGCCCCGCCCCGCCCCGCCTGCCCTCCCGCCGCCCCCGCCCCCGCTCCGCCGCCGCCCGCCCCCGGACTCGCCACCCGTCCGCCACCGCCCCGACCCACCGCCCCGACTCCCGCCAACCGCCCCGACTCCCGCCACCGCCTCCCCGCATCGCCTCCCGCCACGCCCCGACTCCCCGCCACCGCCTCCCCGCCATCGCCTCCCCGATACCGACGCCCCGCCGCCGCCGCCGCCGCCGCCGGTATTCTATCGTGTTAAATATAGTGCGCCCCGTCTACCAGATCGCGTCATAGCGCGGTGGGCATGCGCGCCGGCCACTCGCCACGCTGCTGGTCTCGCGACGGCCGCCGCGGCTGCAGTCGACGATGAGGGAGTTCGCGGTCGGGACCCGCCTACGAGATGTCTCTGTAGTACTACTTTCTTCACAATATTTGAACAAAGACTTATCTAACATGGTAAAATAAGTGTAAGGGCAGATTGAAGAATGCATGCATATCTCATTTATTAGTATATGGAAGATTTTAAAAGATTATTTTTCTACTTTTTATGTGTTATTATTACTAACATTCTTGAATCAAAACTCACTTCTTGCTAACGCTATGCTTCCCTAGTGGCTTTCATGGATGAATTTGTTTCGAAGAGGATCACTATATTGTCTGTAAACAACGTTCGACATCGTGTGTATCAATCAATGACCCTTCACCCGATAGTATAAACGTCCTGAACAACAAAGGTATCCAGCAGTTTCGACTAGGATACGTTCTTGGGACCGACTGGTATAAAACATCCTTAAAATTGCAACGCTACGTCCCACACATATTATTTTCCTCTTAGATAAAAATCTGCCAGCCTTTTTTCGCTCTTTGTGGCATGACATGGGGGTGGGGTTCCGGCCTCCACAATAAATTATATAACTTTCAGCGTAATCAACATAGTGTTGCAAACATATTTGTGCAATTAATGCGTAGAACCGTAACTATGGAACTGAAACGCATTCATTTCTAATCGGAAACATTTGTACGCCTTCTTTATACGTTTTATTTGCGCAATAACATCCAAAAATGGTGCGTTCTACGGCAACGTGTGCATCAGTATAACTTTTGATGTGGTTTGGCTGTGCGACTGCTCTTTTCCCTATACCATAATCTGCGAACTTAATTTTTCTTTCTAAATCGATTAGTTGCGGGTCAAAGAGGAGTGGTTCCCTGTCCAGCAGTAGCACTTACGGGGTTTTGTTTCGCTGGTTTCTTAGTTCATAGTTCAAAGCAGGTTCGTGATCGTCTTTCCTTAGCTCTTTGTATTCGTGGAGAAGGGATAGTTAAACTGTGTAAACAACTTTCGAACCGCCTTATCCGTCCCTTTCATCTGGGGCAGCTGAAGAAAACGTGTCTTGTGGTGTGCCGAGCGAGAACTTCTTAGAGTTCATTTCATTCGCTACTTGTTCTGCCTTAGACAGCGATCTTGGTAACGCAATTTGGACTTGCTGTGTTCCTTCTGGCTCTTGTCGTGAAGTCGAAAGATAATTACTAGACATTTGCAAAATTCAGATCGTTAAGTAGCTGGTAGTGTTTAAATCCATTATACCAACTTTTCCCCATTGAAAAAGTAATTAAATGAGAATATCTTGAGTAAAAGTCCCTGAGAGGTCTATATTTGCGAAGTCATTGCGCAGTTTGTAAGAGGCGATATGTAGTTTTCACAAACGATATTCCAAAAATAAATTATATACTACATTTTGCATATAATTTAGTTAATAAGTCATTTAAGGCACTAACGTTTCTCTTATTAGCAATAAATAGAGGATGAGTCATTTCAGATAATACAAAACCACAGTGGTTCTAATAATATTAGCAATATATCATTCATTAACATCTTTGCAATAAAAATCATAGATTCTTCTAAAAAGCGTTCTGTTTAATTTCCTAATTCTGTCGCAGCCTGTGCCACTGAGCGCATTTCAAAGCCGAAGCGCTCTTGTAGACACGGCGAAATGCATCTGCGCACCCGGAAGAGCTGGGGTTTCTGAATTTCGGACGCCGCAGACGTTCCAAGAACTGCAGCGCGCTCCTCTTCATGAAAATAATCGCGTCGAAGTAATGCGTACCGGTTCACTCACGAAAAGTAGTGGCCCTGCTTCTAAGCCACAGAGACTGGCAGCTGCAAGAAAGCAGGCTGGCGGTTCAACCAACCATTTTGTTAAGTTGTTTCTCTAAGACTGCTCTATAACGTCTACATTTCTGCAATTTTTCTGATACAGTAATGACGACGATTCCCACAAGACGTGCGAGAATGGTATTCTCGTAGTGCTGTCGACCAATCACAATCATCTTAGTTCATTATACGCGACAGAGGGTTCTCGCAATTGCCTGCAGATGCGCTGCGTGCTCTGCCGCGGCAGGTTAACACAGGTCTTAAGACAGGTTAACTACGAAATAGTATGCGAGTAGGTGTTTGTTAGGGTCAGAGGACATTGAGCTATACTGTGAGGTTAGGAACCCATTTAATTTTAAAACGCCAATTTCGTAGTGAAAGTATATTCTTCGAAACAAAATTTTGTAGAGAAAGTATATTCTTCTACCCGCGAAGAATGGCGGTTATTCACTCACTCCCATTAGAATTTCCAACACTAGCTCCTTCGCCACTCGTGTCGTAAACATTAACTCGCGAGTAATAGCTCTCATTCTTCGCTCATTGAAGAATATACTATTTATCTCGCCGTGATTCTGAATTCTAATGTTGACATTTCATCTTGTCCACATTTTTTAATCTTTTGACTTTCGGGTAGTACTACACTCTTAGCTGATTCACCGATTTCGCTTTCCTCCTCTAACAATCTTAACTGGAGCAACACGTCGACCCTGCGCCCCACCGGATTGTCTCTCCACAGCGACGCAGCATCGACGACCGTATTGCAGTCGCGACCTCGCCGTCCTCGCAGCTGCGCGCTCGCCGGTGCCGCTAAATTGGCGCGGCCTTCACGAACCTCGCGGGTTTTTTAACCCTAATTTACCTTAAAAGGTAATACGAATGTTACATATGGAATGAAAGGAGTTGCTTTCTTCGACTTTCTCAGAAGTTGTTTGAGATACGTTGTCAATTGATTGATTCATTGATTAGTGATTAAACTGCTGAGGTCGTTAGTCCCGTTAGTCTAGAACAACTTTTTATCGCGGGAGATGACGGTGATCTTCCCCCCGCTGTGTGGCGAGATCCGGCGCCGACCAACCCGTCGGCTAGCGGGGTTTTCCTCAACCAGGTATCTTTCTGCAGCGGGGACAAGCTCTAAGCTGAAGACGGATCTCCTGGCTTGTGAGGTAGAGTAGTGGACAAGGATAAGAAAGAAAAAAACGCGCGCGATTCGTTGAACGATTGTTAGGGCACTACTCCGGCATTCGCCTGGTGTCGATCGGAGAAACCACGGAAAACTACCGATCAGGGTAGCCGAGCGCTAGAATTCTCCTCCAGGCAGCGGCCGAATTCGATATTTTTCACTTACTTTGGAAATCCTATTACCGTCGGAACTCGAACTCCCGGAACTCCCGATCAGAGCCCCCTCCAGTGAAATCAATTGCTCTGATCTACCTCAGCTGCTTACGCTGTCAATATTGGCCAATATATTTAGCTGTAATGGATTTCTCCAGTGCAACTGAAATTTGGTAATGATTTGCAGATATTCTTGAAAAATATCATTTCCCACATGATTTTTTTCACCATTTTAGCGCATGTGGGGTTAACACTAGTTTAATACATTTTTGTCCTCAGCAATAAAAGCAGCTTTCGATAAAATTATGGCTGTAATGCGATCTTGCATATGTGTCTTATAATTGTGGAATCAAGTAATGCATTTCCTTGCGGGAAAACTCAAGGGATTCTAAACGAATTACGTGAATCTTCACCACCACATTTTGTTTGCTTTAAATGCTGAGATAGCGCGGTTGCACTGCGAATAACCAATAGGGCGTTGAGAGCGTAGGCTCCCGCGGCCGGAGTCAGAATTTAATTGGGTGTCCCGGTGACGCCGCGGGTATGCGAGGGCACGCATAGGGCATTACGCCCTGAGGAAGGTCGCAGAATGGCGACCAAAACGTCGGCACCTTTGCCATGGACGCGGCGTCACCCGGACAGCCAATTAAATACAATACGGCGTTGTTGTGGCTCTGCATCAAACAGCCAGCACGCTGTAATTCTGAAGGTCTCTAGCGACATTGAGTTCGGTCGCAGGGCTATACGCAACGCATACTAATTTCATCAGTTGCCTAATTTGCATTTTTCGTGGTTTGTATCCGACAGAATTTTTCGTCTTCAGCAGAACTTAGAAATATGAGTATCACTATGAGTCTCTTTAAGCAGACGTTACAGAGGGAGAGAAATCGTTTCTCAGCGAAGTAATGGAAGAAACATTTGTTTATTTAATTGGAGAGAAGATAGTGCAGCGTTTTTCATCTGAAACGAATAAACCTATTTAATATCGTAAAGATTAAGAGACTGCAATGCTTTTAAGATTACTAGTGTTGAAATACGAATATTTATACTTCCCGTAACTCTAATGAAACCTAAATAAACGCTCATCAACCTGTAAAACTCTTCAACGTACTGCACTAATTACTTCTTACACATATTTATGCACTTACGCTTGTTTTAACAATAAACATGAGAGAGGTCATTTTCTCTGATATTCTGAAAAATGTCGAATTATATGAAATAATATATCACATTATGAGAGACATTCTAGATATGTTTAAGCACGTTAAACAAATACTGTTCTAATGCTAATAAGATATTCAATTACTCCCATATGTAATTCAGTTGTATTTCCATTAGGTTAATTGGGTAAATAGTCATCACATACATAGCACGTACAATTTCATTTACAAAGATGCATACAAACATCTGACATCGCAGAAATCCTCTGCTGCATCTTACTCTTTAAGCAAGACTTGAATTGATTAATTTCAGTGAACAAATTGTATACTGCTTGCGCTGCATCCTATTATAAGCGCAAACGCTCCTACAAAGCCAATTGCAACGAAGCTAAGGATAAAATGAGCTCTGAATGTACTCTGTGTAGCTGGTGAGGACACAGTCACCAGAACCTGAAATCTAGGCAGCTGTCGCAGAAAAGTCTCCCAAAATTGACATGAAGCAGGTAAAAGTAAACCTTGATAGTAGAAAGGAGAGAAATTCAACAATGGAATAATTCACACTCTCATGAGACTTGAGTAAGAAAACCTGTCTTAATTCAAAAATAAATTACTCATAATATTTTGTGTACCCTGAGAACAACCAAGACAAGCCTGCATATTTCGAACTACTTGTAATTCCCACCAGCAGGACAGATGAATTTATCCCAATTGAACAGTGATACAATTCTTCTCCAATATGAAAGATAAAGTGAATTAAAATTGAATTAGTACATTCAGTGTTGTATATACTGTTTTGAGGAGGTTAGTAAAATATCTAGATATTGCGTGCAGACAAATTAAATTTATTATTAAGCAGATATTTTTATTAATTTTGAACAGTGTTACTGTGTTGATTTGGCTGCTTTCTGCAGTTTTTTCTATTACCCCTCTTGCATACAAATATTTGAGGAAATCGGAATATGTTGTCTCTCCTACTAGCTACTACGAAGAGAAAGAGCAAGCAGATGGGACTATTGTGGAGTGTGCTACGGAAAAACTGTAAACATTGCAGGAATCATAATGCTTAGTTTCATTGATGTTAGATGGCATTTATATAAAATCTTCCTTAAACAAAAAAGGTTATCGCAACATACTATAGTCCAGATGCTGATACTTCATGTTTTATTGTTTGTATTATACAAATTTCCCTTCTATATTAATTCATTAGAACAGGTGAGTTTTGCGGCTCTCACGTGCAACCAATTTTTATAAATGTTCTCTAAAGAAAGATAATTTCACACAGACGTGACGAATTGCACTATTGCTTTAAAATATTTTAAGTTTTTGTTTTTAAAAAACGCATCTAAATATTCACGTGAAATGCAATCCACCACACTCGGGCAGTATAGTTAAAATCTATTTAGTTAATTAACTTCTAAATGACGCGTTCTAGACGTTACGATCTTCAATATTGAAGACGATGTGGTCTTAAAGACACGTTTCTCACACTGCAGTTTATAGGATGTGAGCTTCTTGGACATTGTTACATTTTGCTGGTCCGGCGCTTCTCAATACTACCTCACGTGTTCAGAGACGTGCAGAATATACACCAGTATGTGAAATTAAACTAATTATTGATACTCAAGGAGATATAATTGCACTCGTGCACCTATCAGTTTGGTATTAAGTACACTAGAAGTTACCTTGACAGTTTTTAAAACAAATAAATACGTTTCGTTAACAACTTTCTCCTCTTAATATAGAAATAGAAAGAAAGAGAAGAGGGGGGGATTTAACATGTTGTTTTGTCATGCATGTAACTTATCTTTTTTTCATTGCCGATTTTACACAATCCTTCCATTTCACTCTTGGCCGACCTCTTTTCTTCCGTCTTTCTGGCGTCCAGTTATAAACCTTTTTGGGCAGTCTTTCTGAATCCATCCTTTGTAAGTAGCCGTTCCGTAACTATTTTATTTTCTTTTTTGTGAAGATGTACTGTAAATTGAATCTGTCGTCTTTCTATAGCATACTTATGTAGTAAACAAGATTGCTTTATATTATAGTTGTTTGATAAATTTACCAAATTCAGTATAACACAAGGAATTAAATGACGTTAAAATTTAGAAACTAAGTCTGACAGATAGTCTCTTTCTCAGTAATACAAGTATGCAAATTCCTTCGCTCCCCTGCAGTGAAATCTATTTTACATACGTTCATTTACAATACAGATATCATTAATTCCTCACGTTGCAAGTTCTGCGCATTCTTGATATTTTCTGGACAATAAATCTAAAATGTATCCAAATTCCCGATTTTCTAGGGTAACAAAGGCATTTACTACCCGTATGATTTACTGCCCAATAGTTGTGTTGAAGCACAACACAACTACTGAATAGAGCTCCTGACTTTTTATTTGTCTAGAACTTCGTTCAGCACAATGTACCGTACGATCAACTTTGCTTATTTCATAAAATTATACTATTAATTTATAAAATGTATTACTCCAAATTTGAAAAAAAATCCTTAATTTGATGCTCCTTTTTTCGATGCATCTTGTCAGATAAACAGAGTTCCCATCTGCTTTGAAATGCGATTTGAAGAAGCAAGTTGAAGAGGGAACGTGGCCAATGGGAAGGCTGGCCGCGCGAGGAGTTTCGTCCGGCAGAGGCAAGCGCGGTGCGCGTGCAGGCGCGGGTGCAGGCGCGGTGCCTAGTGGCGGGAGTGCGCGGGTGGGAAGAACATTGATCGAGGGATCTCCGAGGCAACGTGCGTGGGCGCGTGCGTGCGTGCGCGCGCGCGCGGGGGGGCAGGGGCAGGGGCGCGTGCGCGGCGGCGGCGGCGGCGGCGGCCGTGCAGCGCCCCCTGTCGCGGATAAGGCAGCGAATGCTCGCGCCGCCGACAGATAGCGCGTGGGGCTCTTCGGGGCGCGTTCGAGCGCCCGCGCCCGCCCGCCGCGCGATCGGGGTCACTGACATGCGCCCCCGCGCGTGCCGCCCCTCCCGGCCGGGCTGTGGGCGGCGCGACGGCCATTCGCAACCCTTGCCACCGCACGTGCCTCTGGCCCCGCTCTCCAATGCAGTTGGTTGCTCTTTATTGTTCTATTTGGCCCTTTAGTGTTTAACAGATTTTTTTAACTATTGTGGAGTTTACATAACAACACTATGAATATGCATTTAGTTTTAGGTTTTTTTATTGTTCCAGTTTCAAGGAACTATTTGTCCTTATCATCAGGCTATAAATGAACAATATTCACATTGGCAGTGTATAATACCAGGTTAAGTACATTAAATATAATACAAATTACACAATTACTACATTAAACAGTACATCACTACATTTAATTATATTTACTTCTTTCCTTGTTGCCTGGTGTATGTCGAAATCACCCATTACTTAATACTTACATTTGTTAAACTGGTTACTCTTCGTGGCTTTCACCAATAGGATGCCCCTTTCAATAGTTGCAGAATTTTATCCCTAGACTCCACCCCCTTCTGATTCCTTGCACGCTCCATGACTGGAATACAGAGCTCAATGTAATCCGCATGGCGCGTATACGCTTTCTACAAACACAAACGTGTTACCATACGTTGGAACCGTGGCGCGTATGAACATTTTGAACGAGCATACGGATAGATATTATGATAATTGATTGTTGAAAAAGGTATGTTCCGTATACTTATATTGTGTAATTATTAGTTTGTGTTTAATGTAATTGTGCAATTTGTATTATATTTAATGTACTTAATCCGATATTATCCATTGTCAATAAAAATATTATTCTTTTATAGCCTGATGAAGAGGACAAATAGTTCCTTGAAACTGTAGCAATAAGAACCCTAATAGTACATGCATGTTCATAGTTTTATGAAAACACCACAATAAAAAGGTCTATTAAAAACTAAAGAGACAAATAGAACAATCACGAATGATTAAGAACAGACGCGTCAATATTAACAATGTGTTGCTCTTGTATTGCTGCTTCTGGTATTGTTTGTGTAGTATATGGTCCTCTATATATTTTAGATTGCCGATTTTATAATAAAATGAGATATATTCATAACTTAATTTCTTCATTGCACTTTGTAAATATAATTTAATTTTACTTACAATAATTTCTTTATTGTAAGGTGTGGTCAAGAAAGAACTTCAGTGTTATCCATACCTTTGGGTAGCACTCTTTGAGGATTTATCAGTAAACTTCCTCATGTAGAGCAAAGAACATTAAGAGTTGGATGACTGTGCAGTAAAGAAATTAAGTTATGCATATTTCTCATTTTAGTACGAAATTGTCAAAAAAATATATAAGACCATATATTCAATTATAAGACAGTCATAACATAAGAAAATTCTGGTGTTGTTGTTGGTATACACGAGTAAACTCTGATATACACGAGTTACTCTGCTAGGCGTATTGTAGAAAAACATTAATGAATTGGACCCAAATATTCGAGGTTGAGATTTTGGTGATGAAATCCGTTTTGAGGATCACTGAGATACAAAAGTTGTTTTTACTTTTATGTTAGTGTGCATGTTTTTTTTTTATTATGTTTCGCAAAACTCGGATAGATTCAAGGATATTTATATCCTTGAATTTGATACGCATATCATGAGAAAGCTCTGCTAGTACTCTGTAAGAGTAATGATTAAGACTGATAAATGTGGAGAGTCGATGTATGCAGATTTGTAGAAAAAAGTGTGAAAGGTAAATATTATCACTGTAGCCTAATGAACGGGAGTTGGGACAATGGGATAAGGCGTTACGCTAGACTCTTGTCCCGCATCTACCACACACTCTTATCGTCCCCAAAAACAAGACGTGGAGGCATAACTACGTTTCAAATTAAAATACTTGAAAAAACGCGAAATTCTTTGGTTTTACCCGACCTACAGTTGCGGAGACATTGACATTGCCTGTCGGCAGTCAACCCGACAGGTTGGTCCCACTGTCCCGTTGCCTCGTCATCATTCGCTTAGTTCATATGATTTATTGGGTACATTAGGCACTGATGTGCTGAGTCAGAAAAAAGCTCCGTGTGCTGCGTTAATTTCTTCTCCCTCAACCCTTTAACGTAGTAAATAGCTTGTGTGCGGTCGCGTTCCACGGTGGGTGAAAGGAAAGGGAATGTGTACGTTATCGCGGCCACGGGAGCGAGCTGGCAGTGCCGCTGCAGCGCTCCTCCGTTGCCAGACTGCAACCCGCCGATGAGAATCGTTTGATGTCTGGATATGGATATCAGCCAATAGACGTGGACATAGTTGCTATTGCGTGCAAACTGAACCATTCTGTGCCAATGATCATGAATACCCTGTTGCATTATTGGCATTTGTGCTACCTTTGAAACGATTAGTACTTAAATTGTTACATTTCCTCCTAATTTTTACAATACACAAATGCCCTTCTGCCCTTCACAAGACAAAGATGACGAATAG